GCCGGGGGGTTGGGAATGGGGGCCGGGGGGTTGGGGTTGGGAGCCGGGGATTGGGGTTGGGGATGGGGATGAGGATCTTTAGGAGAGTTCGACGTGTTCGCTCCTTATTGGCTCTGTAGGAGAGATCGACATATTTGTAACTAGCTCGAGCAGCATAAAGGCACTAGGACTAACTGCTAATGCCAGGGCTATCGATGGCCTTCTGCAGCCAAGGCTGCTCAGGAAAGAAGCATTGACGGACATATTGACTGCTGGCAAATGTCTCCATCAATTTGCCATCGAAACGAATGAACGAATCGTAGAGGGATTGGTTAATTTTAGAAAACTTAAGACGCCAAGATTTTTCAAAAAATATATGATCAAAGAATCAACCAGTTTCTTGACTTCGCAATTTGGCAGGCCTTTGTACGGTTCTTCGCCATCAGTGAATATCTCGCATACCATAATCCCGAACGAGAAAACATCTGTTTTCAGGCTGTAGATGAATGTGGTGATCGTTTCTGGTGCTGTCCATTTGATTGGTACCTTCTTGCATGTTTTCATTTTGTAGATTTTTCCTTCACGTGACATACCAAAATCACTTATTTTTGCCTGTAATCGGTAAGTGCAAAAATATATCATGTACATTTTTGGATTATCGCATTGAAATTTAAATTTTTCCTTGAAAATTTCATTCTGATCAGCTGATGAACAACGTGTAAGGAGTTATAACAGCATTCAGTGTTATCATATTTAGCAAATCCGAGAGGAATTCAAGCACTGATACATATAAATTTAGAACCAATTTTAAAACCACTTCCCTGTTTTATTTTTTTTTTTCAAAAAGCTACTAAACAGCTATAATCTCCAGACTCAGGTGGGTAACATACGCAAGACTCTGTTTCAAGAATTATCCTCTTTTAATTACTCATTTCTTTCTAAACTCTGACCCAGCAAGTGCAGATTTATTTTCATATGAGCCGCCTCTCGTTAATTAATAAAAATTTGAATCTAAAAAAGTTAGAATTACA